TTCTGCTTCTGTTCTAGGGACTTATACTTTTCTTCTATCGAATATGCTCTTGTCATCCTCACTGTCAGCCATACTCAGATTGAAAGACTTGAGAAGGTGCAAAATGAAGCAATGCGCATTATTCTGGGGTGCACTGGAGACACCTCTTGTGTAGCAATGAGGTACTTTCTTGACTTCCCTACCATGAACTACAGGGTCAAGATCTGGAGGGCCCATGCATACCTCAAAATAAGCTCAGATCTGAAGCACCCTTTGCACCACATGCGCTTCAAGAAAAAAGGGCAATAAGCTTAAAAGGGGCAAATCATGGCTGGGTAGGGCTGAGAATGACATCATGCAGGTTTGCAGCCTTACAGACATCCATCCAGGTGAGGAGTGGATACCAGCGTCTAAAGCGCCCAGTCTCACATTCTCCTGTGTCGTGACGCTCGATAAGAGTTGTCGGGAGAAGAATCCAGCTGCTTTCAATGCCGAGGTTTGCGCGCTTATCAGTGACAAGTCAGATGAGACATAAGTGGTGATCTTCACAGACGGGTCCGTTATACGAGTACATAAGAGTGCATGGGCATTTACAGCTCGCTCTTCGGACAGAACAGTTTAAGAAGCCAGTGGTGCCTTCCCCATGACTACTAGCAGCATGACGATGGAGGTGATGGCGGTGACACAAGTTTTCATGTGGCTAGAATCATAGGACTATTCCCGCGTGTGTGATGGGTGATTCTTTGAGCATGATCCGGCGGGTCGAGGCAGGCTGGTTACACAGACAGTGGTTTGAGTCATTGCACAACTCTCCTGTGTGTGCAGTTACTTTTATATTCGTCCTAGGTCATGCATGTGTTTTTGGTAATGAAAGAGCTGATAGACTGGCAGGTGCTGCATTAATTGAAGATGGCCGGCCTATGGATCACGCAGACATTGTCATTGCCCTTAGAGAGATGGGTCGTTCTAAGGATTTTGGAAACAACGTGTCCACATCACTGCTAAAAATACGAGAACTGGGAGTCAAAATCTGCACAGCCAAGCATGAGAAGCACACCTGACGCACATGAAGTCTTGTTAACCAACATAGGACTGGCACTATTAACCGCGCGACGCTGATGAATATTTTGAGAGGGGAATCTAAGCGCCTATGGATGTGTCTGGAGTAATGTGAAGATAATCTAACTCATAACGCAACTCAACATATTTGGGGTGAGGGGAGGAGCTTACTGTGCCTGAGCCACAAGCTTCATGTGCCCTGTTCAAAAGTGCAGCTTAACGACGGACATACCAAGGGATCGTCGCCGGAGGTATGGAGTTCATACTTTGTTCAGCGCTATTGGCATATGGCTTGCCATTAAACGGAAAGAGACAGAGCAGTTCTTTCGTAATATCCTACCCCAGATGACGTCACCGGACAGTTCAACATTTTACAGGATGGTAAGACTGGGTTTACCGGATTTCTGATGCTTTTAACGACCCCAAAACATTCAGAACTGGCTCTAACCCCAACCCACCTATCTCCTACAAAAGAGTGCAGCCTAGGTTCCACTACTGCTTACAGTCTAGGTCCCACGTCTGCATGATGCTTATCCTGAAATACTAGACTGTCCCGTGACCTGTGGATTTCGCCTGTATGGGGTAGGATTTTCAGAAAGCACCGACTGAGCAATTTATGATAAACCCCGGTGCAATTAAGTCCATCCTATCGACTTTCATTTTTAACATCGACCATCTGGGTTCATCTAGGTGAAGATTCGACATCACAACATTCAGCACAAGCCCGATTGTCTATGTCTACCTCCTAAACAGACAGCGAGAAGTCTCCAGACTGACGAATGATGGTACCCCTTGTCATCTGGTTAACTACTTGTCTTGCCCTCTTTTTGAGTCTGGAAGAGCACAGAGAACCCACAGCCACTCCTCGCTGCATTATTCTCTCCATGTATGGAGATCATTTGTTCCAAATTAGATAAAACCCTTTGACCGCTCTTGACCCGGAGCCCCTACTTATTTTTTTAATCGTCACATAAAAAAAAATAAGTATTAAAAACAAAAGTAAATCTATATTAGAATGGGAAATAAAAAACTCAAAACTCATTTTTTTTTCTAAAAGATGTGACAGACAACTTTAACTGTTTCCGCGGATCACCGGGGGTCTTTGGACCACGAATTGGGAACCTCTCCATGTATACCAAGTAAAATCAAACGAGCCGCTAACATTCAGCAGCTGGAACATTGTTATCCAGAAGGCGCAAGTTCCGAAAGTTCGTTGTCGTCTGCCCGCTTTCTCTCCTGGAGGCGTCTGTTCATTTTTGTGCGTGTACATATTTAAAACGAAAATAAAAAAAATCATTAACATCATATACGTTATAAATAATAAATAACGTATTAGGCATCTCATTGTTACTTCATGTCAACGAAATATCAGAAAATTAACTTAATTTAAATAACCATACCTCTCCCGACTTGCTTAGTATTTCGCCTTCCCTTCCCAGGGTCAGTTGAACAACGAGATTAACAGCTGGGAACACTACACAATGCATTCATTTCTTTGAGAGATCATATGGTATTGTGCTCTCACTGTACTAGTTTATAGTGTGTGTTCAAGACAGGGCGAGTAAAATAAAAAGAAACCCTTCGCCCCTTCGGAATAAAAATAAAAGCATTCTGGACGAAACTGTGACTGTACAAGTCAACTGAATTCATCATACACGTCACACAACCGCAATAGTTCAGTTAGTTAGGTATCTTCGAATCAACCTGGTGAAGAGCTGGCAGGATCTGCGTTCTGAGAACAAACTACAACTAACAAACAACTGGCTGAGCAGTAACAGTGTAGGTAAATAAAAGTATTATGGATCAAATGCAAATAATAGTATTTATAATTTAGTATGGTTAGTTACCTTTTAATTCTGCATGACAGGTTACAAAAAGAAGCAATATTCAATATTAGTTAACATAATAATTAATATAATATATTATATATAACTTATATATATATTATATATATATTTATAAGTTGCGTATCCTTTACAGGACGTTGCAGAACCAACCCCAGGCTTTTTTTGCTGTTGCGGATTTTCTAGGCAAATTTACGTCCAGTAGTAGTTGGCCATTGCATTGCTTTCTGGACGGTCTGTTTTTCGATACCACTGTCGAAACCAACGCAAGGCACAAGGCCCGCAGCTGGGATTGAACCTGGCATCCCTTCCTAATGCTGCAACCCTTTAATACATTTCCTCATGTTGTGGTGATACCACCCACCACCCCTAAACATACAATCTTTTTTTAATTGCTACTTCATAATTTCAGTGAATATGTGTTACCTATGAAAGGGTCGCGACCCACAGGTTAAGAACCAGTCCTTAAAGTCTAAGTGCATCTGCCTGAAAGGTGAAGAGAAAACAGTCTCTATATATATATATATATATATATATATATATATATATATATATATATATATATATATATATTTATATATATATATATATATATATACAGATAGGTCAGATCTGTGCAGTGGATATATATGCAAAACTCAGGCTCTGGAACAAGACTAAAAAGTCCAGAAGTGGACGAACAACCAGAACTTTTGAACTACCAGACATTTCCGGAGGAGTTTACAGCTAGTGAGTGTGAAAAAGAATAGTCTTTCTTCTTTTACCTCATCAGACGCCAACATTGGTTAGTTAAAGTCCTGGCTGTCTGGGAGTAAAGTTTTACTTTGGTATCTTGAGAAAAATGAGAAAATATGATGCACAGTTTCTGGTCTGTGTATCTTCTTCTTGGTGTTCACTGGCTGCAAACTCTACTGGAAATGTCGGGTAGGTCATCCACTTCTAGACTTAAGCCTCATTCCAGAGTATGAGTTTTGCATGCATGTCTGTTTTACGGATTTGGCTTATTTGTATGCAGACTATTGGTTCTTTACCTCTCAGGCAGATGCAGTCCGACTTCTTAGGAAACATCCCTAGTTAGTTAGTCTACTCTTAAGACATGCTTGTTAGGGTGCAGTGGGTCTGTTCTGTCCAACCCCCCCCCCCTTTTTCCTCCAAGATACCCACATGGAGAGGTCTCTTGATAACATTCACATGTTATCTGACTATTCAGTCTTGTGAATGTATAATGCCACCGTCAGTTCCTAATCTCTAGATAACCTTCACGTGAATAATGCCACAGTCAGTTCCCAATCTCTCAATAACCTTTGCATGTTATCTGCCTGTATTGTCTTGTGAATGTAGAATGCCACAGTCAGTTCCTAATCTCTAGATAACCTTCACATGAATAATGCCACAGTCAGTTCATAATCTCTAGATAACCTTCACATGTTGTCTGAATGTATTTAGTCTTGTGAATGTATAATGCCACAGTCAGTTCCTAATCTCTAAATAACCTTTGCATGTTATCTGACTGTATTGTCTTGTGAATGTATAATGCCACAGTCAGTTCCTAATCTCTAAATAACCTTCACTTGAATAATGCCACAGTAATTTCCTAATCTCTAAATAACCTTTGCATGTTATCTGCCTGTATTGTCTTGTGAATGTAGAATGCAACAGTCAGTTCCTAATCTCTAGATAACCTTCACATGAATAATGCCACAGTCAGTTCATAATCTCTAGATAACCTTCACATGTTGTCTGAATGTATTTAGTCTTGTGAATGTATAATGCCACAGTCAGTTCCTAATCTCTAAATAACCTTTGCATGTTATCTGACTTTATTGTCTTGTGAATATAGAATGCCACATTCAGTTCCTAATCTCTAAATAACCTTTACATGTTATCTGCCTGTATTGTCTTGTGAATGTAGAATGCCACAGTCAGTTCCTAATCTCTAGATATCCTTCACATGAATAATGCCAGTCAGTTCATAATCTCTAAATAACCTTTACATGTTGTCTGAATGTATTCAGTCTTTTGAATGTACAACACCACAGCAAATGAAGTTACCGTGTTGCATGTATTATGTATCAACTCTTCTCTTCCATTCCATTTTTCCTCAGATAACCAGAGAAAATGGCCTCAGTAAGTGGGGAATGGAAGAATCCTAGTGACATCATGAAGAAACATCTGCTACAAAGGACTTCATCCTTCAACCTCACAAAGACCAAATCCGCATCTGGTGGCTTCAGCAGGCGACACTCATTCACTCTACACTCTTCCAACAGTCAGAAGAGTCCAGCACCTCACAGCAATAATTCCCCGTGTGATACATCAACCTGTTCCCCAGGCACAGTGTCCCAGAAACGTAAAAATCCTTTTGGCTGTGACGCAGCAAACCTCAGTAAACGCAGATCTGTCCTGGATCGGACTGTCACTGTCGAACATTCTAGTGGTTCTAGTGATGATTTTTTAATTAGTGCCACAGTTCTATGTGATACATCTACGTCTGACGCTGACTTAGATCAAGATACGAGCTCTTCAACTAATTGCCAGCAAAATAAACTTATTCGTGCACTCACTTTGCAGGAGCAGAAGGTAGTTCTAACATATATTTAATTATGTTTCCCCCCCCTGGATTTGCTAATTTTTTTTCCTACTCTTTCATACCTTGCTGCTTCCTCTTTATCTTTTTTTTTTTTTCTATCCTTCTCCCTTCCCCTCATCTTTATCTTAAATCATTTCTCTCCTTCGACTTCTGCTTCATCCTTTTTTCCCAAAGTTCATCATTAGTGAGTCTATCCTACCGTTTATTTCCCTCTATTTTGCGCAGGCACCAGGTAAGGAATATTTGTAGTTTATTAGTAATTGTTTCAGCTGTTCTCCGTGTTTTTGCTTTACATTGCAGTACAAAGAGCCAGTTGGTTTATAAATTATAAACAGGGCCATATACCCAATAAATCTTGAAGCGAATTAACAGGGTCCTTTTCTTTTTCCTATATCCAATGATGGTATTACGTTTTACTTCTTCCATTGTTGGTATTACTGTTTACTGCTACCATTGTTAGTATTACTTTTCACTACCTCCATTGTTGGTATTACTCCTCACTGCTTTCCTTATTGGTATTGCTTTTCTCTTCTTTCATTGCTGGTATTATTACTACTTCCATTGTTGGTATTACTGTTTACTACTACCCTTGTTGGTATTACTTTTCACTACTACCCTTGTTGGTATTACTTTTCACTACTACATTGTTGGTATTACTGTTTACTACTACCCTTGTTGGTATTACTTTTTACGACTACATTGTTAGTATTACTTTTCACTACTACCATTGTTGGTATTACTTTTCACTACTACCATTGTTGGTATTACTTTTCATTACTACCCTTGTTGGTATTACTTTTCACTACTACCATTGTTGGTATTACTTTTCACTACTACCATTGTTGGTATTACTTTTCACTACTACATTGTTGGTATTACTTTTCACTACTACATTGTTGGTATTACTTTTCACTACTACATTGTTGGTATTACTTTTTACTACTACCATTGTTGGTAATAATTTTTACTGCTACCCTTGTTGGTTTAACTTTTCACTACTACCCTTGTTGGTATTACTTTTTACTACTACTATTGTTGGTAATAATTTTTACTGCTACCATTGTTGGTATTACTTTTCACTACTACCCTTGTTGGTATTCTTTTCACTGCTACCCTTGTTGGTATTACTTTTCACTACTACATTGTTGGTATTACTTTTCACTACTACATTGTTGGTATTACTTTTTGATACTACTATCGTTGGTATTTCTTTTTACTAATTTCATTGTTGGTATTAATTATTACTACTTCTATTTTGGTATAGTAGCTTGTCTACTTGCCTATCAGCACAGCAAATACTTGTTTTACATTTTAGCTTATGTGGCTTAATTTACACCGTCTTCTTCTTCACACAGGATTACTTTACCACATCACTAAAGACTGAGACAGAAGAAAGCAGACCTAGTGCAGAGAAGACTCTCAATGCCAGACAGCTTTGTGATGTTTTAAAAGAGAAGCCGGTGTCTTCCAATGTGGAGGCAGCAAGAAGCAAAACTGAGCAGGTTCAGGTATTTGTTCAGTTTTCTTCTTTCATTCTTGCATCACACTGTTACATGTTTGTAGCCCAGCATTGTGCTTTTCTTGGTTTGTCCAGTCGTTTTTGAGTGATGGTTTTGTTAATATTTTCTGCAAACCCACTACCACCCTCCCCCTTCCCCCCTCCCAAAACTTGTGCTACAACAAGCATGTTATAAAGTCGTCTTATAGGTGAGGAAACAACAGTCTGCATGTAATAAAGCCAGATCTGTAAAACAGATGTGCACACAACACTCAAGTTGTAGAACAAGACCAGTGCGTAGTATAATTTTTTGCGGGTTCATATCTTTCCTTGGCCATTAAAATAACTACGTAAATCGGTAAATTGATCTGTAACTTTAATTCTTTTTGTCTCTTGTGTGATATCTGTTTGTGTTGGCAAACGAATAGGCAGAGAGATTGGCTGGATCTGCACCACTTGGTGGTAAATTGAGAAGCTAGTTGTTGTCAGGACCCTTTGGGAGCGAGTAAACAGTGCAGGGGTACAACTAGGTCAGTCTGAAAAGAATGGTGCAGTGAGTAGGGACCAGGACATCTGGCCAACGCTCATTGGAGGTGCGGAGCGTACATACAGTCTAACTGTTACTGGTAGAGGTGTAGTGAGGAGTGTCCAGGGGATCTGGCCGACATTCAGGGGAGGGGAGAGGTGAGACGGACATACAGTCTGACTGTTACTGGTAGAGTTGCAGAGGTACTTCTTTTTTTTTCTTTTTTTCGCGTTCACCAGCTGTAAACTAGTGGAATGTTCTGGTTGTTCATCCACTTCTGGACTGCAGTCCTGTTCAAGAACCTGAGTGTTGCGTGTGCATCTGTTTTACAGATCTGACTCATTTGTATGCAGACTGCTGGTTCCTTGCCTCTCAGGCAGATGCACTCCGACTTCAAAGGAAACTCCCAATTAGTCGACTCTTACGACATGCTTTTGGGTAGGCAGTGGGTCTATTCTTGTTTTCCCTTTAACAGGGCCCTGGAACCCACACGGGGAGTGCAGAGGTACAACTAGGTAAGTCTGAAAAGAATGGTGCAGTCAGGCGTGACCAGGGAATCTGGTGGACACTCATGCGAGGGGTCGAGATGGACATACAGTCTGACTGTTGCTGGTAGAGGTGTAGAGGTACAACTATGTCAGTCTGTAAAGAATGGTGCAATGAGTAGTGACCAGGGGATCTGGCTGACACTTAAGGAAGGGGAGGGATGAGATGGACATACTATCTGACTGTTACTAGTACTGTCAGAATTGGAACTCAGCGCTTGCTGCTACGGGAATGTCTTGAGTGCTGTGATGTAGGTTGGTTGATCTTTTATAGATGTCATCAATATATTTGCTGAGTTTTAACACTAAGAGTTGAGAAAGCATCAAATGACAGCTAAGTAAACAAGTGTTCTGTGGTTTATGGTTTCATGTTTGCTCACCTGCAGGTTTTCCCTAGCCCGCCAGTTGATTGGAGCCTCAAGTCAAAAGCTCGAGTTCTTGTCCATGGCAGCATTGATTCTTTTAAGAAGTATCCGGGCATTGATGCCAAGAACGTGCATAGTTTTGTGCATCATACATTAGATGTGAGTGATCATGTGTTTTGACTTTATCAGATTTCTAAAGAGATCATATTTTCTTCATGCAGATCATTCTTCACTCCACCAACATCTTTCTCTTTCCAGGTGAAATAAGATGTCTAAATCAGCAATTTTGTCATAAATCATAAATTTCACTGTCGTTGTTAGCTCATTCAATGGTCAATAGAACCCACATTCCACTGTTGTTCTTTCTGGCCTAAAGGTCTGCTTTATTGCTGTCATAGCTGGGGGACGGGGGTTGAGCATGAGCTCTCATCTCTTACCAAACACCCCTAAGGCATGTGCACTCATCACCTCTGACAGCAAAAGTTCAAGTCCTGGCCTTCTCGTGGTGGAACTGTTTAAACCAACAGGAGAAGGGGTGATGGCGAGTATCTGGCACCGTAAAACCAGACAGCTCCTCAGGTATGATCACAGTCTAGCCTATCAAAACAAGGTGCTGAAGTCAGAGGCAACCAGCCAAGAGGCGCACCACAGCAATCAGGATGTCACGCACACTAGCCATGAAAATATGTAGATGGTCATGTCTCTCCACACATCTCAGTCCTTGGTATTCTGAATCAGTTCCACTTATGAAATTCCACCCTGAGGTCACTTCAACCCGTCAAGCATTTTCTCTTGGTCTGCTTCAGCCTCTTCTACCATTCATATTTTCAGTCATTTTAGTTCCTCTTTTCTCATCAAAAGACTGAAGGACCCTGACTACCTCTTGCTGTTAGTTATTTATAGTTTATAATTTCATTAGAAACTAAATTACAATTTAATTGACATACCTCGCAGCTAGACATATTTGTTTGTCAAAATAACCTTGGCACCCTGGTTGACCCAGCCTAAAACAGGTACCAGGTAATGTCCTGGGAAGTAAAGGCAGCTGGCCTGATGTTGACAACATCACTCAACAAGTATCAGCTAGTCTACAGAAACATGAGTCGAACATCATATGCCCAGTACACCACTGGCATGGACAAGGGCCTTTGTTTTTTTTGTTGTTGTTTTTTTTTTTTTGTTAACCTATTATTTGTGGTGTTGACAGTTCTGGTTTTACTGCATTCCATTAGGCTGGATTATGTTGCCAACCCAAAGCCTGTGAAGGAAACCAGACCTTATCCCACCCACCTCTGATGATTCATGACCTGCTTCTTCTTCTTCTGACTTGTCCCCCAGTGAGGCATATGCCCTCAGCCAACACACCAAATCGTTCTATCCTTTGCTGTTGCATGCAGCTCACCCCATGTCCTTCCTATCTTTTTAACTTTATTCTGTAGCTCCCATCTCCATGCTTTTCTTTGGTCTGCCTTTATTTCTATACCCCTGTGGGTTTTAGTGCAGATTCTTGACCTGGTTACACTGTGTCTTTTCACTAATTGAATGTTGAATTTAGAATCGACATCACAGCACTCAGGACACTCCCATAAGGGGTCCGTCCCCATCTTCAGCAGCAAGCAAAGAGTTCCAGTTCTGATGGCACCATCGTCTGATATATCTGTCTCGCCTTCCCCTTAAGTGTTGAGCATCGGCAAGTTCCCCTGATAACTCCTCACACAGCCATCCTCCTCAGACCTTGATGAACTATTTGCACCTCCGCACTGTTCACTCGCTCCCAAATTGCCCTTAAAGCATCTAGCTAGTCATGCACCAATTCACCTCCTTGTGGCGTAGAACCAGCCAGTCTATCAGCCTGCTCACTTCCCAACACACCAGTATGACCTGGAGAAAATATCCAAAGTATGCTAACTACCAGGGACCTCTGAAGCGATTCTTTCCACTTTGCATGCAGCATGCCTGTGTCCACCTTTCTCAACATGCTCTGTGAGTCAGTTACAATTACAACATGTGTGTACAGCTGATTCTCCAGCCAGCGGATGGCAGCAGAGACTGCCTCCACCTCTATTCTCAAACTAGACATACTGATATCATGCCAGGCTCTGCAGCACTAAGCAACTTTCATTCGCTTTTGCTATAAGCCCCCCCCCCCCCCCCCCCCCCCCCCCCCCCCCCCCCTCCCACCCCAACACACTTTGTCTGCTTCTTAACACAGAGCCATCTGTATAGATAATCACATCACCTGGGCAGGAATTGTCATTAATCATTTGTTGACCTTCTGATTCTGCAGTACCAGCTGGCCAGTCCTTGCACTCATGACCTCAAGTGATGAGAACCCTACACAAATCTGATTCTTGCTCAGACACTTTGACCCGCTTCTCTCCTCACCAAAATTCATCATTGTGTCTTCTGCCTGCGCCATCTGAGATCTTCCTCTTTTTAGTCTGTGACCCTTAGCTCTACCTAATGCTTCATGCAGGAGGTGCTTCTTGTCTGCATCTACTCTGAGATTGCAGAACTTTAAGCCGGGCAAGTATTTATCACATACATACTACCGGGGTATCTCTTGTACATCCCAGAATTACCAACATGGCTTCATTCTGTATGCTTTCAAGTTTCATCAGCCGACTCTTTGATATGGTAAGCATTCCAAGTCCATAATCTGTTACCGATAGGATCATATACTGGAACATTGTGAACAGATAAGTTCTAGTTCTAATCTTGCACAGCCTGTTAGTTGGGATGTGGAGTTTTGTTGCTCCTATAGTCCATGCCCCATTGAACTGGGAGTCATGTCTATTCACATTCTTCTGCCTCGTGTATTTTTAAAATCATTTCTGACACGGAAGTTCTTCCATGTCATGTTGTCAAACTATCCAGCATCTGCTCTCTAGGTCAGTGTTTTTCAACCGGTAGGCCGTGGAAAAGTCCAGATGGGCTGTCAAACCATGCAATAGCATTTGCTCTCTACATCAATGTTCTTCAACTGGTGGGCTATGGACAAGTACAGATGGGTCGACATACATTTTTGTTGTTGTTGCTTAATTGTGTAACAGAATAGGGTAGGTAGTTTTTAGGATTATCTCATCAAGAATCAAAATGAAACAGGTAGAAATTCAGAAAACCCTGTTCAGTGACATAGTTTTCTAACCTCTGAGCAATGGCAGCTGACAACTGTAGTTTTGTAACATCAAATTTAAAATATTTACGACTGTCTAAATTTGTTTTTCTTTCTGTGTTTGGTTAGCAGTCTCAGGTGGGCAGCAAAACAGGTTCCGTTTCTCTAGTGGATTGCGGGCGTAAAAAGGTTGAGAAACACTGCTCTAAGTCCTTCTCTGACCCTATTTTTTTTCTCGCACCCCTCACTGTGCATTCCAGCTTTTCTTCTTATGACACGACTAAAGAAGATTGTCTCCCTCTGATGTGGGCAATCAGTTCTCTTCGTGAGTAATTTCTTTAAAGATATCATTTATCTGTCCAGGGTGTTCTCATCATTTACCTATAAAACTGCATCCCTGCACCTTCAACATAATTTAAAATTGTCCATAATTCACTTCCTTGTATCAGAATTGAAACTATAGCCCCGTAGAACTCTTACTTAACTCAGTTGACACCAAAAAAAAAATTACATACAATATTCTTCATTTTGCGACATGCTGCCTTTGCCTCAGCTATTCTCATTTAACTTCTTTCATACATATTTTATCTGCTATACCTCAGTTTCATTGATATATTGTTTATAATAATTGCTGTCATCCAGCCAATGTTATCTCTTTCTCCTGTTTTGTTCTGTGACTCAGGGCAGTCTGGAGTGGCAGGACCTTGATGTTTTGCAGCAAATAAAACGCTGTTGCATGCATTACAGTTACCCATACCTGCCCTGGGTTCCCACATTTCCCAGACTATCATCAGATTTCAAATCTAGGTGAGTACCCTCTCTGTGTGTCTTGTTGATCATATCCAGTCAGTCAGTCAGTAGCATGTCCTTTGCAGAACCTTGCACCCATAACAACCCTCTGGAAAACTTCTCGATCACAGGCAAGATGTCCCGAGCCCGATACACCCAGAGATCATCCGCCACATCCTGCACCCATCTTTTCTTTGGCTTTTCATATCCTTTGCGTCATGAAAAAATAACTAATCTCACGAACGATAGTTGAAGTATGAGATGAGACTGGTTGTCGAAAAAGAAAATGAAACAGCCATACTGGCTGCCCCGAGGCATCTGTGTGGAAGATATTAGTAATTAAATTATGGTGGAAAACCAAAGTCCACTTTAAGAACAATCTAACATGCGTAAGAAGCGAAGCATTGGTTTTGTCTGGGTCATTGGGGTACCAAGTCTTCAGACTGCTTCCTTTTGGCTTCAAAAGGAGCAGACCCTGATGCATGAGAGGCTCAGTATATGGAGTGAGATGAAGCAGTCGTGTGCAGGACATGGCGGTTCTTTGGGTGAGCCCAGTAACAGAGCGTTGCTGTGTATTAGCTCTGCATTTATAGAAGCCTCCTGGTAGCAGAACATTTTCATGTTCTGTCCTTACCTTCTCTTGAAATCTGGTATGAGGAGAAGGGCGCTGCGGGAAGTCACCAGAGGATCTGGGTTAAGCACTCAAAAGAAAGGTAAGACAGATATACTGGTACAATCGGAATTTAAACTTCCGCTTGCTGCTGAAGATGGGGGAATGAGGGCTTATGGGATTGTCCCAAGTGCTGTGATGTTGATTCCTAATTCAACATTCTTGATCGCTGACCAGCATTATGCGGCTGTGCTGCATAGACCCAGTAAGGGGCACCATGTGTGGATTGGCAAGCAAGGATGACCACACAACAATGAGGCTCTAAAGCCTAACCATGGTAACCATGGCAAAAAATGCTTTATGGATTTGTTTGTCACAGCCGAACGTTGCAGATATTGCATCACTCTCACTAGACTGATGATCAGTGTGCTCCTCCAAATTGCACACGTGCTCCCGTAAGGCCTCAAACCATGTGTGCCTTAACTCTTCAGACTCAAACTTTGATTACCTAAGATAAAACATTCTTACAAAAGAACGAGTTTACCTTTTTGGCCCAAGAAGACTGAATCTAGTCACTTCCGGTTGTGACCCAGTCCTGTAAATGTCACTGTATTGGCCTGTGAAGTTTTCGAAAAGCATAATTAAACCATTATTTCTGTGTAGGCATAGAGTAACTTAAAATAGTAAGGGGGGGGGGGGGGATTTCCTTATGACCCCAGTGGCTTTTTTAAAGCCCAGTTGATGTCAGTTTTCATGTAAGTGTTGGTGACAGTGGTCATAGATGGCATGAGTCACCCGATACTAGTTTTTCTTTTTTAGGCCATTGAGAATGTATTTCTTTTAGTGCTTCACTCTATGGGTGTTTATTTATGGCCCCTTTGATATATGTTTACTTATTTCCCCCCAGAAATTAGAAAGAAAAAAAAAGTTTTTATTGACCTTTGTAAAATATTTAATTTTTGTTTCTTATACATTCTTTTTGGGAATTCCCACGGGCTCATTACTTTTTTTTTTAAAGCATTCATGTGGCCAAAGGGTTAAAGTAATGCTTGGTATCGAAAGAGTTAAAGGGCAAATACAGAAGTATCACAGTTTGTTCAGTGTCATTTTTTGTTTTATTTTCCACCCACAGGTCAACCTCTTTGTTTGCCAACAGCAAAGATGTTTTGGATAGTTTGCAGAGAGACTGGTAGGTGGTGCCTGCTTGCAAATAATGTTGGTGTGAGAATGTCGGTTTAATGCACTGCGATCCTTGCCTTCAGATTTCTTTAAACAAATGATTGATGCAACATTTTGTGACATCAGGCTCTCCATGTCTGTGTCAGTCTATCTGTCTCTCTGCTCCTTCTCTCTCTCGTGTTTCTCTCTCTGCTGTATCTCTCTCTCTTTTTATGCTTTATTTATGTTGGCGTCTGTGGTTTAGGTGTTGCGAACGAGCTTCGTAATGCCGGGCGCAAGCCCACTTGCGGACGCTTTGTCTTACGTTGGTTTTGACAGTGGTACCGAAAGCTGACCGCTTAGAAAGCAGTGACAAACTATTAAATATAAAATTTGCCTAGAAAAACCACAACGGCCAAAACACGCTGGTGTTTGTTCTGCAACATCCTGGGGATTTTTAACATCCTGGAACTTTGAACTCTCACTCTCCACTGCTTCTCTCTCTCTCTCTCTCCTCCCCCCCCCACCCCTTCAAAATATAGAAAATCATGTTTTCGCATCCTTGTTCATCTTATGTGTGTTAATGATAATGCTTTCTAAAAATGATGAAATATGACATCCTCCAAATGATTCTGTTCTTGTTGTCCGTACACATCAGCTTAAATATTTCTTCTTCACGTTCTCCGGCTGTAAACTCAGGCAGAAAGTTCTGGCAGTTCGTTCTTTTCTGGACTTTAGTATTGTTTCAGACCTTGAGTTCTGTGTGCACATCTGTTTTACAGATCTGGCTTATTTGTATCCAGATTGTTCGTCCCTTGCCTCTCAGGCAGATGCTTTCCGACTTTAAAGGGAACACCCCTTAGTAGACATTTACAACCTGCTGGTAAGGAGGCGGTGTGTTTATTCTGTTTGTCCTACAAATGGGCCCTAGAACCCACACGGAGAAATATGAACTTGGGAAAGTGAGCTGAAGGTTGCTGATGTGCTTTCCATCAGTTGGAGATGGGTAGATGGAATAAATGCACTTTCACATTTGACTGTTAAACTAAACTGACATCAGAGACAAAATTTCACCTTTAAATTATTGTTGCGTTCATCCAAGTGGTGTTTCTGATGCTGGAATATTTCATCATAACTTAATCATAAAACATGTTACTTGCAAGGCAGACATTTGTGTCCCACTTTGTTTAGCTCTAATCCCATGACCCAGTCTGACAAGGAAGACCCTACCAGTAGCTGAGCTACCACCAGCAGAGCTCTTGGAGTCATTGGAGCTGATCAGCCCCTCAACCACACCAAGGTGGAGACATGTCAGAGAGGCTTTGAAATTTGAGAGCATTGATCCTACCATTCTGCGTCTAAAAAACAATAAAACTTCATTAACACACATGCCAAGAGTGTATAAATAGATGTGTCATTCCTGTTAAAACCACAGTTTTGTTCATGTTAACTGATTGTTTGTCTTAAGTGAGTTTGTTTTGAGGTTTCACTGTATACTGTTTTTAACGGAATAATTTGTAAATCTGAAAATCACCTCTTATCATCAGGTCCAACACGTTGACGTCTGTGTACCAACAGCTGCGAGCCGGTTTGTGTCCCTACTTTTACGTGTGTGCCTATCAGTTCAGTGTCTTGTTTCGATGCTTGAGGTCAGCTGACAGTACATCATGGTCTGCTCTCTTGTCTCCGTCCACTCGAGGTCTCCGGGAGATGCTCACCAAGGAAGGTAATGGACATTTTTGTATGATACATTTTTCTTACCTACTACTTAGTCGCTTCTCTTCTACCTTGAAGTGTAGAGTTGAGTCAAGAATTGATCTCACAGCACTCAGGGCATTCCCATGTGTGCTCTGTCCTCATCTTCAGCAGCCAGAGCCGAGTTCCGATTCTGATGGTATTGGTCACAATCTGGTTATACGTCTGACTTGCCTTTCCACTGAGTGTAGTGAGCCGACCAGACCCTATGGTTACACCCAGATGCCTCATTCTCTCCAGGCCATAATAATCTTGTTTCTCTACTAATTCCATTGCTTGTTCCCCAAGGGCCTTGACCACATCTGCCTTGAGGTGTAGAGGTTTGCCAGAGAGATCGTCAGACTTTTCCGTTAGCAGTTTTTTCTTTCTTGCTTTGTTCCATTCCAGTCCTCGGTCAGTCAGGGACTGTTGGATGTTGTCTTCCCAGCAAACCCTGGGTCATACTGGAGGTCTGGCGATTTCTCTGGCAAACCGTTACACCCCAAGGTAGAAGAAGAGCGACTAAGTAAGTAAGTTTATTCTCCACATTTTTTAAATTTATTCTCATGTTTTATTCGTGAAAATTAATCATAGCCTACCTTTTCGTTCTCTTGTTCTGTATTTGGCTATTTGTTGATTTTCAGGAATTCAGTTTCGGCTGCCCAACATCAGGACCACAAAGTACAGGAAAAACCACAAACAGGAAGACACGGAGAAGGCCAGCAGCAGTGACAACAGTCAGGTCTCAAGTGCTCAGTCTCTCCATTCAGTGCATGATGATTGTGCAGAAAATGAGAACTCACAGAAAGAGAACACCAACAGGTAAACAGAGGGTCTTGTGACTTTAAGACATTATATTGGTCATGTTTGAGCTAGATTTTGTTTATTGTCTTTGTACAAATTAAGTTTGGTATTTTTTCTGTTTTTCTGTGTGTCTGTATGGCCTTGTATCTGTGTTTTAGTCTTTGTTTATATAATTTAATCGAGGCTTTCATTTAATTATGCAGCTCTATGACTTACGGGTTAAAATGTAAAATATTGATGCAACATTTCTAAAACGTACCAAAACATTGGCCGTGGTACCAAAAGTTCAGTTTTGCTCGGCAGGGGTCAAATAGTACTAAATTTGTGTGAAAGTAGCAACTTCGGCAGCCCTAGTGGGCGGTTTATTTAAAAAATAAATGCTGTCCTGGTTTTCAGACGGGTTTGAGAGTCAGCACCTTTGAAGAGACCGGGTCCTAGTCAGATAATATTTCCTAAAGAAGCAGTGGGTACAATGTTATGTGGCCAGCCATCGTGGAGACAGCCAGCAGTTATTATTTTAAAAGGATCTTATCTTCTCTTCTTCTTTGCGTTCACCGGCTGTAAACTTTGGCGGAAAATTCTGGTTGCTTGTCCACTTCTGGACTGTAATCCTGTTCCGGAACCTGGGTGTTGCAAGCACATCGATTTTACAGATCTGGCTATTGTGTGTGCAGACTATTGATTCCTTGCTTTCAGGCTGATGCTCTCTGACTTCGAAGGAAGCCCCAATTAGTAAACTCTTGCAACATGTTTTGAGGCAGCTATTCTTGTTCTTCCCATAATGGGGCTCCGGAATCCACACAGGAAAAGATCTTATTACACTTAACTACTTGTTCGATTGAGCTTGTGCCTGTATGTGTTTAATAATGTCTTCCCTCTGTGTACACTTATTCACTTGTTTGTTTGAGCTTCCGTCGGTGTCCAGATATGTTTCATCTCCGTGAATGATTCTTCTTTGTCTGCGCTTATATGGGTATTTGGCATGTTTTGTTGTTGTTTATAGCTAGGCTATGTTGTCCTTGCTTTTTGGCCCAACACATCTGATTTCAAGTTAGTTGTGTATCTTTTACAGGCCATTGCAGAAACAACCCCATTTTTAGGCTATTGTGATTTTTCTAGGCAAATTTTGCGCTCATTAGTTTGCCCTTGCTCCTGAACGATCAGCTCTCGGTACCACTGTTAAAACCAATGCAAGACAAACCGTCTGCAGCTGGGATCGAACCCAGCATTACGAAGTGTGTTTGCAGTGCGTAAGCTACAGACACTGGTTTCAGGAACCCTTATGTAGTCAAATTTTACGACATGCTTGTTAGAGGGCAGAGGGGCTATGATTCCCCCACCCCCTCCCTCAAAATGAGGCCCCGGATCCGAAGCAGGGGCTATGAATGTTTGAGTACCACATTGTTTCTTACTCCAAATTCTTTTGTGTTTTTATTGGTAGCAGTCTCTACAGTGGAGTCCGTGTGACCAGCCCAGATGACTCCAGCGATGATGACAATGACATTCGGGATGACGACGAAGCCTCTCAGTGGCTGGAGGTCATGGGCTTGGACAAGAGAGACTTCCCTTCACTGGAGCCATTTAAAGTTAAACTGTATCCTTCAGCTGGTTCACTGTTTTATCTCTTGTTTGCCTGCCTTCAACTTTTCCCTTTAGTTTATTTTTAAAGTGAAATATTCATGTTTTTAATTAAATACATAGTTCATAGAACATCAAAGAATTAAATGGTTTGATCCGAATGTAACAAAATCAAGCAGAAGCTAAAGCTTACTACATGAGACCAGCAGGCTACAAGGCAAGAGGCCGGCTAAGAAAGAGATGGTGGACAGAGTAAAAGAGATGCTACAGAAATGCGGTACGATACTAACGTAAGCTGCACAACTGGCAAAAGGCAAAAAAGTAAATCTCTTCTGCAACGCTTTACAGCAGGGCTATATAACTAGTTTACGGCCAAAATGTTAAAAATGATGATCGTCGGGGGCCAGAAGCCTGAGCCCCAGCAGATTTGGCCCGCGAGACACCAGTTGAATAGCCCTGCTTTACAGAATAGGTATTAGAGAACAAAAGTAAGAATAATAGTTATAAAGTTAGATAACTAGATTAACTTCTATGCACACTATTCTCCTTAATGAATGCAGACAGCGTGAGGGTTTTAGAGAAATCGACAACAGGCCTCAATCTATGGTTTATGTGGAAGGAGTGGATGTTCACTCATTCTTTAACTTCCTGTTGAACTACCCATGTATAGCCAGCAGTGGGCCTCAGCACGGCATCCCTCCAACAATCCTCTCGCCAGTTCCATTTGTTGGAGGCAGATTGGTGCAGAATGTGGTACGTTTTGTTGTCTTTCTGTCTGTTAGCATTTTGATGGTTGATTAGGTTTTTGAATTTGAAAGACCTTCCTTTTGGCACCTGTCCCTTTTCCAGACATGTTCTATATATGATATATAGTGTTAATACAGAAGTATGCTGTAGAAAGATTCTCAGAATACCATGGACAAAGAAGAAAAGAAATACTGGCTTTCTAAAATATATAAATATCTAGGAATATTGGTTAATAAACTGCATGTTGTCTTGGAAGCTTAAATATTTTGGCCAAAAAAATCTCCGCGGTGGATTGGAAAAAGTAATAGCAAAAGGTGTGGTACCAGGAAGGGGGGCAGGAGCCAACCAACAGGAAAATGGGCACAGGATATAAGTGACTCCTTGAATATGAAAGTGCTTGAGGGGGTGGAGGGGGGAGCTGTTGAGAGACTGAGTCTCTTTCAGGCCGACTGATGAGAGTGACGTTCTGCAAAAGACCTGGTAGATGATGATGATGAAAGAGGAATTTGAAATGCAGCCTTTAGTTGTGGGCAAACAACAGTGATGAAGTTCCTCATCTCCATAGCACAAAGCGTGTTCAGTGTTGTAGAGACCATGGGTTGCCCATGCAGCGAGATCCCACTGTCTGCTTTGTTAACTCCATAGGAAAGCTAACACCAATACATTTGGAACAAAGCGTGCTGCAGAAACTTTGTCCCTTCTTGTCACTTGGACCACCTTTCTCAGTATTCATTTCCGAGAAATGCAGAGGAGGGACATTAAAATAATAAATGACACAAAAAGAAATAGAATGCTCCTTCACTCTCACTGTTTCTTCCTCCTACTTTCGTCCTCTTGTCTGACTCTTTTGCTCAGACTCCCCTCCCAAATACTGGAGAGTTCTCAGCCTGTGCTTTTCGTGTAGCTCTTTGGGGTTGAAAACCCTTTCATTTTGGTCAAAATCAACCAAGGTAGCTTGAGCTGGTTAACATGAGACAAAGCACTGACCCCTACAAGGCAAGAGGCCGGCTAACAAAGAGATGGTGGACAGAGTAAAAAGACCAACTAAAAATAAATATTCAATTAAGTTATAAAAAGAAACAATTTTATGGTTGAGGGTCACCACAACATGAGGAACTGTATTCAAGGATTGTGGCATTAGGAAAGTAGAGAATCACTGCCCTGATATAAAATAATTCACTGAACTGTGGCTAACAAGCTTAACAGAGCTGGAAAAGGGGGGGGGGGGGGGGCACACACACACACACATAGGAACAATCGGATGTGTCAGCAGCAGCCTTTATCAAGATAGACCACAACTAAGACAGCAGGGAAAATCCGGACCCCCAATGAGATATACGAATAACTATAAAAGATAAGACATGAAAATGGCGCGAAGCGACTCAAACAAATAAATGAACAAAATTAGGAATAATAATAATAAAATAAAGGTAACACGAGTAATGGTCAAGGTAGTGTAGATGATAGACAGTAAAAGTAATAGAAAACAGAGTACAGAAAAAAATAATAAATGCAAAATACATATTTCTCCCCAGTATAGTCGAGTAGTGTTCATTAGCCGATTCTTGCATGTATTATTTCTACATGTGAAATTTTATTTTTCAGGTCAAGCATACAACACTAAACAGTCGAGTGCCAGCTGCAAGTGGCCAGTTAAACAATCTGGAAAATAAAAGCACGCACGTGTTTGAAATATCTGGCCCTATTCTTCCCCATCACGCTCTCAATATGGCAGCAGTGTTACGCAACAGTTGTGAGTGTGATTCGGCCTCTCTCTCCTTCAGCACCTATGCTCCAAGTGCTGCCTTCAACACACAAACTGTCAGCGACGCAGAAAAAGACAAACTGGCAAGTGGCCTTAGCAAACTGTTTGTTGATATTTCACAGGCAAATGCTGGCCTGTTACAGGAGGTTAGAAATCAGATTTTGGCTTCTCCTCTTTTAGAAACTGGTGCGGCTATACGAGACATGCACGTCACAAAGTCAGGTTTTTCTTGGATATGTTGATTGTGGTCATTGTAGATAGTTTGACCAAATATTATGTTGATATTCCAGTAGAGAGTCAGAGTTTTGTCTTTATTTTTGGGTCAGCATTGTGCCATTATTTTGATTGATTAATGCAGTGTTTCCCATTTAGTCGCGGATACGCAGAGTAAATTTATGGGGTCCCTTATATAATTTACAAAATCCCGGCGCAAGGTCCGGGGGTCTCATTTGGGGTGGGGGGTCATATAGGACCCCCCCCCCCCCTCATCCTCTCAGAGGCATGCAGTAAATGGTGACAAATGAAGGGTTTGCTAAAATCAGATGTGTTGCACTGAAAGGTGCAGATATCGCAACCTAGCTTTAAATCACAACATGCCAGTTGCATTTTTACACAGTAGATTTTAAAACAGTTCCTCAGGCTGAGTGCAGTCTTTTGTGATTCTAATATTTGTATATTCTGATTGTTTATTCATCGGCTGTAAGTGCCGACAGAAAGTCCTGGTTGTTCGTCCATTTGAACCTTGACTTTGTGCACTGTCCAGAGTTTCGTGTGTGCCACCGTTTTACTGGCTTATTTGTGTCTAGTTGGTTGTTCCTTGCAACTCGAGCAGATGCACTCTGACTTTGAAGGAAGCTCCCAATTTTATGTGACTCCCACCACATGCTTGTGTGGGAGGCAGTGGGTCTGTTCTTGTTTTCCCCACAATGGGACCCCGGAACCAACACAGGGAATGTTTATATAAGTATGACCAATAAAAAGGTGTGGGATCCGTCGCTGACCATAAACACAAATAAGAGGGGTGCTCCAGTCTGAGCTAATTGGGACCCCTTGCATGAGTTGATTCAAGAACCATCTTTCTGTACTATTATACTTTCCATCACTTACTCCATATCCTTAACATCTCTAGGAGACATTCAATTCTGTGCACAAACTCTTCATGTGGTGGGGGCATCAATTTATATACACACATTTCTGCATACTGTAAATATTTTGGTTTGATCGGGTGTTAATTTTATCATTTTACAAGTTGTTATGAAATAGGTAGACTTGGCGTGAGTTGGTTGAGGGCCTATGCTCCACTGGGGGATAAAGAGCAGAAGAAGAAGTATAAATCGTTAGAAGATGAGCAGAGGAACTGTTCACCCCAACTTGAATATCATGGTCTGGATTATGTAAGTGCTCAACTCTTTTGCACTCTAATAGCAAAAACATCTAGTTTGAAAATGGTGATGGAGGCTGTCACCAGCAGCCTTCTGCTGACTTGAGGACTAACTGTACATACATCGAAATTGTAACTGACTCATAGTTCATGTTGAGAAAGGTATGCTCCATGAAGAATGGCAAGCATCACTTCAAAATCCCGGGTAGTTAACACTGTTTGGATATTTTCTCCAGGATATGCTGAGATATTAGCAAATGAACAGGCAGATAGACTGGCTGGTTCTGCACTACTTGGTGGTGAACTGGTGCATGACAGGCTAGATGTTGTAAGGGCCCTTTGGAAGTGAGTGAACAGTGTGGAGGCACAGATTCTCGTGGTCTGAGAAGAATGTTATGAGGAGTAACCAGCTGATCTGGCCGACGTCAACACCCAAGGGAAGGGCGAGACGGATGTAGTCAGACTCTTATTGGGGATGGAGCGCTTATGGGAGTATTCCACGTGCTGTCAGTTCTTATACATTGTGGAAATACTGTGAAATCAGATTTACTGTTTTTAGTTATTTTCTGTTTTTTATGATGTCCAACTGCCAGTTAGGCAGTTTTGAAATTGAGTATATTTGTACTTTTAATAGTCCGGACTTTCAACTTTAACATAACAGCTTGCTGGTAAGGCTACTGTGATTGACTCACAGAGTATGTGGTGACAGGCATGCTCCATGCAGAGTATCAGGCATCACTTCAGAGGTCCCGGGTAGTAAGCATCCTTTGGATATTTTATTCTGGTTATGTTGGGAAATGAGCGGGCAGACAGACTGGCCGGTTCTGCACCACTTAGTGGTGAACTGATGTATGACAAGCTAGATGTTGTGAGGTCCCTTTGGGAGCGAGTGATCAGTACTAAGGCACAGATTATTAGTCTGAGGAGAATGGTGCTGCAAGGAGTAACCAGAGGATTTGGTTGACACTCAAGGGAAAGGAAAGACAGAAGTACAATCACAGTTACTGGTGCCATCGGAATTGGAATTCGTCGCTTGCTGCTGAAGATGAGGACAGAGCGCTAATAAGAGTGTCCCGAGCAATATGTCAATTTTTAATCCAACACCAAAACAACTGACAACATATTTGCATGACTTCAGGTCCCATATTTTAACTGCCACACATAAATACAATCAGGCTTATAACATCAGCAATATATTTTAATGAGTCACACAAGACAGCAAATTACAGCTATGATCATTGCTAATTTACAGCTTACGTCATAAGGCACAGAAATACATCAATGTTATGTGAAATTATGATACATATTTCTTCTGTTAACATAATAAAGACTGAATGCCCACCCATACTGGACTACAAGTTTCTCTAGAGGTGTGAATGAAGAAGATGAGCAGGTTTTCTGACTTTTTAATGTGCATATTCCCACCAGTTTCTAAAATAGAAGCCAAATGTTTTTCTAAGGTTCAGAACTGACAGAGCATACAAAATAAACACTAGACAGCTGGTTGTGTCCCTGAGGCGGTCTCGGGCTAACAAAGATCAGTTTCATCTTTGTGCCAGGGTGCACGCAGGTGTGCAAGGAAATGAGAAAGCTGACAGGTTTGCAGGTAAGGGAAGGGAAGGGAACACAAGGTGAAGAGTAAGATGTTTGTGAGAACCAAATATTTGTGAATCTGCAACCATGATGTCAAGAACCCAAACTTAAAAGGGTTGCCCTCAGACAAGAGAAATAGGCAGGAAGTCAAAGATTATTAAACCCAACATAAAAGCTGGTGTTGTCAGTCGCTACAAGCTGTGGGCTTTACAGGGGGGAGGGCATCCAAGCACTAATGGACTGTTGATATCCTGACATTTCTCTTATTTCTGTATTTTTCATGAATTTATCCAATTTAGTATTAATTAATTTCCTTAGGTATTTGTTTGCGGATGCATTTACACACTTGTTCCATATCTTTAGTGGATTTTCAAACTGCCACTGATGTATCTTGAGACTGAAATAACATTTTAGATCAGTGGCTCTCAAACTTCCTAATGCAGCGACCCTTTAATACAGTTCCTCATGTTGTGGTGACCCCTAACCATACAATTATTTTGGTTGCTGCTTCATAACTTCAGTGAATATTTTTTTTTTTTTTTTTTAAATGGTCTTGGGCGACCCCTGTGAAAGGGTCATTCGACACCCAAAGGGGTCACGACCAACAGGTTCAGAACCCCTATTTAAGATCAATAAATGTTCAAAGCAGCAAGAAATAAAACAGGGGAAAAAAATTAGTGTGAAAACAAACTTGTAAAGCAAGAGATAGGTCAAAAAAATCTTCAGTCACACTGTTCCTCTAGTATGAAAGAAGACCACTATTGTGTCACAAAAATGAACAAGCACAAGAAAAGAGGCGTAAGAAACAGCAAATTATATTCAGCATGGACACATGCAAATTTGCAGTCACTATAGTGTAGTTCTTTTGTAAGAAACAAAAAATAAAGTATAGGACCCTTTCCACACCTTCAGGTGTATTAGGCATATAGGGCTAGACATATATTTCATAGACCAATCAACACTTGGTGGGTGATGTGCTCAGCATCACGCTGGCTTCTTCTGTATTCGTCCTTAAAAGGGTTGGTTACAGAAGGATCCTTTGTCTGAATTAGTCATTGCGACTGCGCTTTAGTGTCGGGTTTGCCTTCAGCTGCAGGCGATTTGGCAGCAGAAAGTATTTGCGTCAGTTTCGACAGTGGTACCGAGAGCTGACCATTCAGAAGCAATGGCAAGTTGCTGAATGTAAAATTTGCCTAGAATAACCACAACAGCTAAAAAATGTTGGGTTTTGTTCTGCGAAGTTCTGTAAAGGATATGCAACTAACTTTAAAAAAAAAAGAAAGTCCTGGAACCCACACAGGCTTAACGCAGTACTGTCACCAGAGTGACTGAGATGGCACTACCAGTGGTGGCTGGATGCCCTGATCGACCAGTGTTTAGGTACGGCGAACCTAACTTCACACCAAGGAGCGGTGAGCTGTGGGGTTAGAACACTGATCTCTATGAGTTAGACCTGGGTGAGAATTCCCGGTAAAGTCGTGGATTTTTTTGTTAGGGGCAAAAATGAAATCCTAACCTGCACAGTTCACAGTGACAGCACCAGTCATGCAGCCATTTCTGTTTGCATCTCAAAAGTGGTAAATATAGGCAGTAATGGAATTTTGTTGTTGGAACAACCCTATTTCAGGACATGGAAACAAGTTTAAACTTGAGAAGATCTTTATTCCACCAGGTTTCAACACATGTGGCCCTGTCTTTCTCTAAAGAGCTATTAGCCATCACACAAAGCACAAATTCTGCAGCTCAAATGACAGTCCTGGGGGATCTCAGAAAGAAAGGCGGTGGTTAATCAAATGACAGTTTCTCTGTGGCTTCGGGGGATGGTCCATTTTATGGGGAAGAAGAAAAGACACATTGTTCCCCTAATGAGCAAATCGTTTCAGGCGACTAACTGGGGTGCTTGCTTTGAAGTCGGAGTGCATCTGCCTGAAAAGAGAGGAACCAACAGTCTGCCTACAAATAAGCCAGATCTGTGAAATGTAGAACTCAAGTTCCGAAACAAGATCAAAATCAAGATGTGGATGAAAAACCACAATGTTCCACTGAATTTACTAGTGAATGCGAAGAAGAAGAAATGACAGTTAAAATAAACTTATGACCTTCAGAGTATGATGAAAGGAACCTGACAATAGGGTTAACAGATCCCTATTGTAAACACAGATAAGATAGACCATCAGCCCCTGTGGCTAAAGCGCTGCAAATGCAGTTGATTATTTCCAGATACCTGCTTTGATTCCAGCTGCAGGCTATTTGGCAGCAGACCACCTT